TAAGGAATGGCACAAAGATGTGAACTGGACCATGAGAACATGGTCAGAGTCAGCTGCTTTGAAAGAGTCCAAACACGTCCTTCAACCCCAGGAATGGAATGAACCATGCCCCTGACCGAACCTCCCCACACTAGCAAACAAACAGTGCTTCCTGAAGGCCTGGAAAGCAGACATGAATCTTCCAAGCGGGGCCACCACCCGCCGGTGTGCTGCCAGTGCCCTGCATAGCAAGAGCCTTTGAAATGGCATTATTCACACTGCCAACGTCACCAACGTGTGCAATCATTATGACAATTTCCTGCAAAGGACAGTAAAGTATGTTGTTCTAATAAAATCTGTCTTCTAGAGCAACTGTCTTAAAAATGCAAGCGTCTTGGGGGAGGGCATCTTTTCCTGACTCACACAATTTGCCCTATGTGCTAGCGATGGTAAGCACGTTCTTACTGCTTTTCCCTCTCCAACTGCTGTGAAAGCTACATTCCAACCACTCACTGTGATTTCATTTCACCTTTTCAGGCCCAAACGTATATTAAACCTGCTTCAAGCAATTAACACTTTCTTGCTCCTCCTACCCCATGTGATTCCAACTTTCCTATCGAGCCCATCTCCCTCCTTAATCAGGATCTACCAACACTCCTTAGCCACAATGGATCACATTTCCTAGGGATCTCATTTTCCCAAAATTCAAACACAGTTCTAGGGTTGTTCATTGCAGGGATGGGCCAGGTCCTGACCCAGAAGATAGGATCTCAACCAGAAACTGCACCTTGGAGCCCTCCCCAGTCTGCAGGATCTGCTTGGAACCACTCCAGAAGCCTCCTAAACATTGACTCTTACACTATTAACTTATACATTGCTCACATAGACATATAAATCATTCTGAATGATAGTTGGCTTCTGCTCCTTCACAAGTCAGCCTGAGGGTCAATTTAGACTCCAGTTTGCTCGCCACCGTAGCCAGCACCACTACTAAGCTACCTCTAAAGCAACATATGGTTTAACCCTCAGATCATCCTAACTCCATTCTATGAGAAATTTCACATAAAACCTAGAACAACATTGTGCAGCAAGGATACACATTATTTCAGGATGGCTGCCACTCAAGGGGAGACCTGTGTGGGACGCGGCTGGAGAAGGCGAGCTGCTGTCTGTCACACTGAGCTTCTTTTCGACAAACTCTCAAACAGGGATGGAGAGATGTTCACACATACTCAGTGCAGGTGGCGCAGAGAGGAGAGCGGTTCTATTACTCTGCTTTGGGAACGTTTGAAGTTTTCCACAATACATATTTTAAAATTGAAAAAAGACGGTTTTATGTACTTTTACCAAAGACTATTCTAGCATCATTCACCAGAGAAGCTTTAAGGAGATCTGTAATGAACCCAAAGTAGACAGGTTCTGGCCAAGTCTTACCTGGTCTCCAGGTGAAGAGATCATGAAGAGCCAATGCTGGTGGGACTTTGGGGGTGCTCCCAGCGCAGGCTGGATTGATGCTGTCCTGGCACACACAGGGCGGTAGAGAGACTGGGGGGGGCCCACAGGTGTGAATGAATGGGGACCCTCCATCCCAGCTTTTGTTGCCCCCACCCGTCCCTGTACTCACAGCCTTGCCCCAGTGTCTGCCTCCCACCCTCTTGGAAAGGAGGCGTGTTTACAATGATGTACCTATGCTGCCACCTAGCCTTCGGCGGCGTCACTGCAGCGCACTGCTCTGCCCAGACCTCTGTCTTGCTAACCTGAAGCCTCGGGTTCTCTATTTCTTGAAGGTCACTGTACCTTAGTTTTGGACCAGAGACCGGCAGCAGCAGCCGCATGCCTGAGGTGTGCCGGCCAGTGGGAAAGGCTGATGTCAATCTCATAAGGGCTTCTAAGCGGAATAATTACTCACTGTGGTTTGGGCAAGTCTGTCTGTGAGTGGTGAGAGCAATGCAGAGGAGCAAATGAAGACAAGACCCTTAGCTGATGTTTTTCCTTTCCAACCAGAGGAATCCATGACACTTTGTGTCCTGTTCAAAGTCTAGTTTTCCCAAACCATGTAACCACCCTTGTCAGGAAAACCGCTTAGACACAGAAAATGATCAGAGGACTCAGCTTTTTAAAACAGAAATGCTGTGCACCCTTTGAAAAGTTGTCTACAGAAAAGCACCAATCATTTATCAGTTGCATTTCTTGAAACTTGGTCTGTGTATGCAGTTAGTCTTTTAAGGAAACAGGGAGGGTGGTCTCTGAGGATGGGGACGCAGTGGGTGATATTTAACTTCTTTTTCTTCTCCAAGAAAGATTTGACTGAAAAGCGTCAAGCTCCAACATGCCAGAGTGGCAGCAAGAGAAAGTGGGCATTGAAGGAAAGCTGGCAGCCTGCTTCTGACATTTGCACCTGACAGAAATAAAATATGCTCCTCCTAATGAAATTCATTGATGGCGACTACTTTTTTTCAGCAGTAACCTGCTAAAGGTGATTGTGAGCAGATCTGGGTCTTCAGAATGGAGGGTAGAGGAAATGGAATCAGGACAGGCTCCTCGGATCCCCATCTCGCACCACCCCACTCAGCCACCGTACACTAATCATGGACTCCCAAGCAAATCCCATGCCAGGTCCCCATCTTCGGGTGAGCTCGTTCCAGAGAATCCCAGGCTCTTGAGAAGTCCTTTTCTTTCGCCTTCTCGGGGTCCCTTGGCCAGCAGCTCTCCCCCAATTAGTCAACTCTGCCCAAAAGGCAGAGTTGCCCTCACAAAGGCAGGCATTTCTGCGTGGAGATAAAGAGTGGGTGTTTACACTCACAGCCTGGAGCACACCCTCTCCCCAGACCCCTCTCCACCCTGCCCAAGAGCCAGCTCCCACCCCCACCCCCTCTTTCCTCATCCCCACCACCTTTTCCTCTTCTCCATGAATCATCTCCCTCTTCCTTTTACCTGTCCTCACACATTTTATTTTCCAGTCACTGGAAGTCAGCTAGACAAAGACACGTCACCACAGATGTGTCTCAGGATGGAGGGGGCCAGGAATAGGTAACTCATGTGTCTCTGGAAGGAGCACAATTTCCCCATTCATCTTAAATGCTACCAGGGTGCCTGGGGTCGCTTGGGGGGGCAGAGGTGTGTGTGTGTGTGTGTGTGTGTGTGTGTGTGTGTGTAGGGTACCGAAATAGAAGCAGGAGCCAGACATGTAGCACCCTGTCCAGCTACTCTTATAGTCTGAGCTTGACAGGAAAGAGAGCGTAACATGTGGTCTCTCAGGCTCCTCAAACACTTCAGCCAAATTTTGGAATATTCATGTTCCCCCTACCTTACCAAAGCCAAGGCTGAGGCCAGAAAAAAAGCCAACAGGTCTCACTGCTCTTTTGTTTTGTTGTTGTTGTTGTTGTTTGGCTTTCTCGGGCTTTTATTGAGATTTTACATGTAGTGCAGCAACTCTTTTTGTTTTTTGAATCACTCTACTCAGCTCCTACCACGCTCCAGACACCTAAAATCCTTTTGGGCAGCAGAAAAAAAGTGCAACTTTCGTCTGGCTTGAAAATGTGCTGTTTGGCAAATAGATAAGTGAGAACAAAGCTCGGGATCTGGGAGTGTTCACCACAGAGCAAGATGCTCCAGAGAAGCCAGAGAGAGATTTTCTTCCAAGCACTTCTACAGAAAGACTCTTATCATAGATAAGGGTGCAGTCTAGTGGCAAACTTCCTGAAATGCAGCCCCTTCTCCGGAGCAGCCAGAGGCACTTCCACGGGACAAGGGAAATGTAGAAGGGGTGAGGCTCCTACCCAGGGCTCCAAAGGGGCAGGGGCACTAGGCTTTTCCCTGGCCTGGCTGTGAAGTCCACAGCCCATCCATGTCCACTTTAGACAAAAAGGAAAATCATCACCTCCCTTCTCTTAAGACATTAGCTGTCTTTCCTTTGACTGAGGAAATACGGGATTTGTGATGTTGGAATAAATTGTCTGAAGTTTCAAATGGGATCACAATGTTCCTGCTTGGGGTCTCTTCAGAGCAATCACCGTGGCCCCCTCAGCCTGCGCTCCTAGTATTCGAGGGTGCCAATTACCTTTATCACAAGGAGTCGCTCTGTCTGTCACCAAGTACCTCAGAAGAGGTGGCCCTTTCAGTAGCTTTCCGGAGGGACTGGGTTCACTCCAATCTGCCTTCCTTCCGCGGCAAGACAGTCCAGGTCTCCGGGCCAGATTTTCGGACTTAGAATTTCTCCAAAAGGCCAGTCTCTGTAACTCTCTGCTCCCTACAAAGCTGTTGTTTGAAGGACCCTTCCTGCAAGTATATGCAACACACAGGCAGCTTCCCGGGGCCAACAGTGACTGAAAGTGCTCACTTCTTTAACATATGACCAGAGACATTCACTTCACCAATAATAGAAACAGGATTCAATCCCCTTCCCTAGGTTTTTTGTTTGTTTGTTTGTTTGTTAGTTTGTTTGTTTTTGGGGGGATGGAAGTTCAGTTTTTCTTTTCTGTTTTTATCTCTTTAAAATTCAGCCACTACCCATCATTCCTGGCCATTCTCTGCACACCAAACACACACACACACACACACACACACCTTGCAGGGTAACTTAGACACCAGCAGACAGTCATTTCCCAGGCTTGAGAAGAATTTCTTGGGCACTGTATATATCCAGTTGGCTAGTAAGAAAATTGCCTCTCCCTCCAGCCTGGGCCTTGGCTAGTTAAGGAATGGTAGGGCTGGGGAGACCGAGCTATTCCTCATTGTGTGCACGGTGCTCCAGAACTCTCTCCCACTCAGCCCCCTCCCTCTCCCCTTGCAGCCCAGGCCGGGTTCCCCAAGCCCCTTTCTTATATTCTGGGGCTGGGGAAGACACTGTTCAGAGAGCCAGGGGAGCCCCCGCGTGTCTCGAAGGCCTCTCCCCACCCCCAAACCGTGTGAGTTTGTACTGCAAGCTCCCTGGCATCCTTGGGTTGGGTTGGGTGTTGGGGAGCTCAAATTGCAGCTACAAACTGGCTGGCAGCCAGGGGCCGTCTATTTAAAAGCGCCTGCTCCACCAGAGCCCGTAGTCTCTTTGGAAACTTCTGCCGGGGAAAAGAGCTAGAGAGGAGCTGCAAAGCGGTGTGGGGTTTTTCCTTTTTTTTTTTTTTTTTTTCCCTTTCTCTTTTTTAATTACCCCCTCCTCCCGTTTGCACCCTTCTCCCGACTTCACGCAAAACCTGCGAATTTCGAAGAGGTGGTGGCAGAGTGGGAGAAAAGAGGTGTCAGGGTTTTTGATTTGGGTGTTTTTTCTTTTTCTTGATTTTAACATTTCCCCCACCCTCTCGGCTGCAGCCGCTGCCTCTTACCTGTTCCGCGGCAGCCGCGTGCCGCTGGCAACTGAGCATTAGAAAGGTGCAGGGTTTTCCATAGATTTTAAACAATTTTTTTTTAAGCAAACCCATTTTTCTCCCCCCCCAACCCCTGCCCCACAACCTCCGACCCCATTCCGGTGGTCGTTTTGGGGGTGGGGATAATTTGGGGTTTTTTTCCCCCCTGCAAGTCTGACCGGGTCGAGCTTGGGGACTGTTTTCTCCAGCCCCCACTCCCTCTGCCTGCACCTGACGCTGCCCTTTTCCCCCCAACCTGTTGCAAGCCTTTGATCCTTGCAATCGGGACTTGCTTGCAGGCACCCCAACTCTCCCTCTCTCTCTACATTTTGCAATTGTCTAGAGGAAGGGCACCTGCTCTACCTGCTAGAAACTTAAAAAAAAATTTCTCCGGGCGCGCTCCTGGCCCCTTTCTCCCAGCACCCTCGCTCTCCTGCCCCGCCCCAAGGTAAAGGGGGAGACTCGGAGAAGATGGTGCTCACCGCGATCCTCCTGCTGCTGGCCGCCTGTGCTGGGCGGGCCCAGGGTCTGGGCTCCTTCGTGCACTGCGAGCCCTGCGACGAGAAAGCCCTCTCCATGTGCCCCCCTAGCCCCCTGGGCTGCGAGCTGGTCAAGGAGCCCGGCTGCGGTTGCTGCATGACTTGCGCCCTGGCCGAAGGGCAGTCGTGCGGCGTCTACACTGAGCGCTGCGCCCAGGGGCTGCGCTGCCTCCCCCGGCAGGACGAGGAGAAGCCGCTGCACGCCCTGCTGCACGGCCGCGGGGTTTGCCTCAACGAAAAGAGCTACCGCGAGCAAGCCAAGATCGGTGAGCGTGCTCGGTGTGCCAGCCAGTTACCCGGCGCACGGGCGGGGGGCACGGGACCGGCTCGCCCCGTGCGCTTTGCCCCGCACAGTGCCGGGGTGCAGCCCGGGAGCAGGGAGGGGAGGGTCCTGGCCTCTAGGGATAGGAACCCTGGCAGATCCGGCTACCCGGGGCCGCAGTCTAGCCCACAAGAGCCGGGTTTTCGATGCTTCCCCCGCCCCTCCCCCACCACCCACCCCACCCCTTCCCCCAGGTTCGAGCCTCAAGGTCCAAATCTCCAGATCCCCAGCCCGCAGTCTGAAGGGTGCATGTTGCATTACCAACGCCCTCCTCCACCCCCCCCACCCACCTACACGTTTTTTCTGAACTTGAAAAAACAATCTCTTTTGTTACAAAATACTGCTTTAACCCGGGCCCTGGAAGCAAGGCGTTTACCGGCCTTGGGGGGGTCATTCCACCTTTGCACCCCACCCCCAGCCCCCTGCCCCCCACCGGTCGCTGCTGATATTTCTATCTTTTTACCCAACACTAGCGCGCGCGCGCGCTCAGACTCGCGCACACACGCGCGCGCGCTCGTGCGCGCACACAGACACACACACAACACATGCACACGCACACACACACGCAGCCCGCGGTGGCTAAAGCTTTGGAGTGGGCGCTTTGGTGCCCCTCCCACGCGCACACCCTTTGCTTTTGACTCAATGTGATTGGCTGTGTGGACGGTAAGACATTAAAATGCAAACTACCCCTTTTCCACCCTGGAAGGGACAGAGCACTTTAGGCGCGCTTCGGGGCGCTGCGGGGAGACAGGGGGGCGGGTCGGGGAGACGGTGAAAGGGCGGGTCGGGGGGGAAAAAGGGGTAGGAAGCCAGGGTTTGGTGTTCCTGTGCTTTGGATGTTCCTCCCTGCAGCTAATTCCTTTCCCCCCGCTCCCCAACTCAGATTTTACCTAGGAAGAAAGGTGGATGGAGGGTTGGGAGGCAAGAGGATTCGAAATTCAGACACCATAACTTCCCCCCCGCTGCTAAGCAGCCCCCCCCCAACATCTCTCAAAAACAGATCACTAGTGGGTGTGGGGTAAATGTAAAAAGGACCCTGGAAACAAAATATAACATCAAAGGGGCGGAGTCAGAAAAGCCTCGCACCCCAAGTCTCCCCCCCTCCTCCAAGGAGCCCCGCCCCCAGGTGCTCCTCCCCAAGTTCTCGGTGCCAAGACTCTAGGGTTTAAAAGGTTGACAGAGCTGCTTGTTTAATCCGAACAGTTCTATCCACCCACCCCCCGCCATCCCCCCAAATGGGTTTATTTATATTTTTTTGGAAAGAATTTATTAAGCTTAAAATTTTTAAAGGCTTAATAAACTATAGACAAAAATCTGGGTGCTGGAGCGTCACCCCTGTTATCGATCTTCTCCCAAAGGGATTCAACTTGCCTAAATAATGTTTATTTTATTCTGCGCAGCTTCTGGCTGGGACAATGCTCTTCTATCCGCTTTCATTATGAGCATCTCAACACGCTTCTTCTTAACTGCAAACTACTACCGACACTCTCTTGTAGGAAAGTGTTTCCGCGCTTAATGATGAGGCAGGAGAGTTTCTCTGGGTTCAGCTTTGACACCCGCAAACTGCAGGTTTTGTCCCAACTCGGGAGGCCGGGTCGCCTCTCCCGCTTGGCAATAGGTAGCGTTCCCGGGACTGCAGCCTGCAAAAAGGCACGGAGAGCTCAGTGCAAGCCCTGGAGGCCCCAGAGGCCAGTTTGTGGAGTTATTTTTATTAAGAGCCTCTTCTCTTTTCAAAGGCGGTCCCGCCCGCCTTATCTTGGGGCATGTGGGTTTGGAAAGGCTTAGCACCAATCCAGAAAAAAAATAAAAAATAAAAAAAAAGTATGAATCGATTTCCTGGCTTGGAAGCCAGCGCTCTGGGTAATAATCCGGTCACATCGAAAGTATGCAAGGTATCATTCGGCCGCATTCTGGCCCCAATTTTATTTGCCCAACTGTGTGGTTAGTGTGATGTGGTCGGTGCGAGCGTAGGGCGCGCGCGCGCGCGCAATTGCTGGAAGAGCAAATAGGCGCATCCAGCTTTCCAGATCTACCTACTACGCGCGCACACACGCTTTTGTTCCAAGTAAGATCACCTTTAGACTCGAAGCCCCTGACTCAACCCCCACCTTCAAGGTCTCTCTGGGCCAAAACGTAGCCGCCTCTCGGTTCCGCCCAGCCCTTCTCTCGACTCCACCCGGAGGCGCAGGTGCCTGGCCCCCTGCTGTGGCGGCTGGTCTGCGAAGGACCCGCGCGCGGCGAGGCTCCCGCCTTCCTCCTGGGCCGACGGGATGGAGTGGGCGCTCCTGGCTAGACCCTTTCAGCTCGAAAGCCGTTGGACGGATCCCCCCCAAAAAAAAGTTGGAGAGAGTTCTTGAGGGAAAAATGAACAGAGAGGAAGGAGAATGTCGACTCTTTGGGCCAAAATTCCTGTACCCCAACACTCCCACACACACCCCTTACCAAATCAGTAGTGAAAACTTGGGTTCGCCCCTGCTTGGAGCGGATGCCCTATAGTTCCAGATACAGAGAGAGACACGCGTACAGACATAGAGGTGTGTGTTTGTAGATATATCGATTTTTTTTTCAGCCAAAAAAAAAAGAGAGAGAGAGACTTTCTAGAATCAGAAATGGGGAGCCGAGGAGAGCGAGGTGGCTGGCAGCCAAAGCTTCTGGAAGGAAGAGGGGAGGGCGGCGCGGGCTGGTGTTTTGCTAGGCTCGTTGCTGCGCAACGGGAGAGGGAGTCAGCCCGGGAGCCTGGTGCTGGGAGCGCGCCGGCCCTGCATTTTCTTTTGGCCAGTTCAGGGGCAAAGATAGATATAGAAACAGAGGGCAGAGTGTGTGAGGCTAGGGGCAGGAAGGAGACAGGAGTTATTTATTGAGCCAAGCTCAATAAATATCGGTGAGCCGGTCAAGTCAAGGAAGGCCGGGCCTTGCTTTGGGCATTGTTTGTAGAAGGCTTGTGGCTTTATGAGCTGGGTCCTGTGCCTGGGGGACATTAAGTTTAGGGTAGAGAAGTGGGTTCTGGATGTCAATTCTGCCATTGAGAAATAAGAGAGGAGGAGGAACAGATAAGATGCTTCTGGGGTAAAAAAAATAAAACACACACCTACATAAAAATAAGCTCCATCTTTTGCGTCTTTGAGGTTTTTGGCCTCTGCCACCCTGGCTACCATTCCAAGCCTGGCCCAAATGCCATGGTGAAGTCCAGTTCCAGAGTTAGGTTTATTGGCCAAATTTGTGTCTGGGTTGAACAAGATCATGGAAAATTGAAGGAGCCAGATTCCTTTCTCCGCCGCACCCCCTCCCTTTGAAAGAGTCTTTGAGAGGCTGGCTGTGCCCTGAGCCAACCAAAACTGAGCTGGAAGATCAGAGATGGAGCTTTTAACTTGACTTTTCTTGCCTTTTCTCCTCCTTCTTTCCCTTCTTTCTGCTGTGTCAGCTCGGGCTGGAAGAGCAAGCACTGTGGCCTCAGAGAGAGCTCATTTTCTTTCCATTTCTCTTTTTCTTTCTTCTCCCTCCCTTCCAGTGCCTCCCCCTCCCGCCCCCTCCCCCACTCCCGGCATCCCCTGAGGGCTTGCCTTTAAGTCAGAGCAGCTGTGAATCCGGCCTGGGGCTGGGGTGGGATTTGAGCCTGCAGGTGGGCTTGCAGCTGCAGAGGGAGGGTCAGCTGACCCTAGGGGTCAGAGGTCACCATGAAGGTTGCAGCCTGGGCTTGGGAGCAGTAATCCCAGTAGAAACACTCTCCCCTTGGGGGTGGGGGGGTTGTCTGCCTCTTGAGAAGGGAGAGTGATTTTTGTCTGAAGTTTGCACCTTGTACCTGAACAGCAAATGCCTTTAAAACCTGAGTTATTTAATGCATGAAATATAAAACCACTCCAGGCCCACTGCATCCAGAAAGTTGGAAGAACACCATGAACAGACCAGGTACCAAGGAGGAACCTGGGTGGAATGGAAAGGCAGGGGCATGGGAAAGGTTGCCCTGAGAGACAAGGAGGCAACTAGGAGAGGTTTAGATTTTGGTTTACATTTTCATCAAAAAGGGGCAGTTCCCCAGGGGCCACCCTTCAATTGTAACCTGGATGTGTTTTCTGAAACAGTAAGATTGATTACATAATTGCAAAAATAAATAAGCATATTAACCAGGAAACCAAATCTAGGCTTCTGCTCCCCCCTCCTCTGTGTCTACAGAACCCCCCCCCTTTTGCTTCTAATTCCATTTCTTTCTACAATTTTTATTATCATATTTTCCTCTCTTTTTTTAATCCAAATCCAGAGTGACTGGAAACCTCCGTGAGAGGGGGAGTGGCTCTTCCTGCCTGGCCACTGGGCTCATCTTGGTTCTAGCATCTCTCCTGGACTTGCCCTGGTATTGGCCAGAGTGTTAAAGCTGGAAGCAACCTGGCCCTCGTTTTACAGATGAGGATGCTGAGAAGTGCCGAGTCACTTGCCCAAATTTAGGTGCAGGGTTGGCAGCAGAGTAGGGCGTGCCCTCCTCTTCCCTCTGAATGTCCGCTCAGTTCCACTCTCCCTGCCTTTCCTCAGTCACCAGGGCTCCTGATGGGGTCAGGTCTAAGCTGTCATAAGACCTTTGGCAAATATTACCCAAAGCTGTCCTACCATAATGGGGGCTGTGAAAATGAACTAAGAACTCAGAACTTGGGGATGCTCTATCTTAGGGGAGGTAGTGAAGTAGCCCCAACATGGAAAATGCAGCACCCTCTTTCTTTTCAATCACACTCCATTCCATCCCAGCCTTGCAAGGAAGACTAGCCTAGGCCAGTGGTTTGGTGAGGGGTGGGGGCAAGGAAGATGGAGAGGGGGGTGGTGTTCAACCACACTTAAGGTCCTCATGCTAAACCTCATTTCCTGCCCCACAGGGCTCTGTCCTGGGGTGGGTAGGCTGGTGCAGCCACAGGGAGCTGTGCAGGCTGGAGCCCCAGTCCCTAAGGAGAATGCAGCACC